TTAATTAATATCATTTTTTATATTTTATATTATGAAAAAAACTATATATCAGTCTCAACTCTTAAAATAAATTAGAATCTAAATTTTAAATTACCTTATTTTATTTAATTAATATTCAATTCGAAATTTAAAAATTTATTTTATTAAATATTGATATTTAAAAATAAAAACTGATTAAATTAAAATATATAATCGATTTTTAAATTTAAATATCAACATTTAATAAAGTATATTTTTAAATTTTGAATTAAAATTTTAGTTTTCAAATAAAAATTAGGAGTCTAATTTTTTTTAAAAAAATTAAAGACAGACACATCTCCACAAGTATGAGCCGGTTTGATAATGCTATTACTCTTATAATTAGAATTGCCAAACTATTCTACCCTTTTCTTCGAACAGTACTTGTTTTTGATATTTTTTAGCTTGAAAAGAGAAGCCTCCCTCCTTGTAACGGGAATAGACTATTTTATGCACAGATTGAGTTAAAGAGCTCTTTCTGCTGCACATACCTTTGCATTCTTCTAAAGCCTAAAATTAAAGCATTATCGATGCATTGCAAACAAGACGACCAAGGAAATAAAATGGAGTTTTCCAAGTAATTTATTTTATGAAATGTATGCAAGTGGAGAAACCATATTTATCCTTTGTCCAAAAGCTTAATTTCAACACTAAAGTAGTCTTTATTTCTAGTTATTTAATTTACATGATCTTCTCAATTTCCAATTTCCTTAAGATATTGATTTTTGATCTTTTTAAGCATTGCTGCGACATCCATCATATTTCTCCTTACTTTGGGTGCTTCTGCACAGCAATTCAAAGCTACTTCTAGAACAGATGATACACAATTTGCTTTAGCAATGAAATGCTCCTCCTCTGCCATTAAATTGGCATCCACAACCTCAATTTGTGAACAACATAATGATTCATTCACCCACGTCTTCAAGCTCATTTCTCCGATAAACATTTTGTCCATGGGTTTCCGTCTTGTGCATGTCTCCATGACTAAGATGCCATAGCTGTAAACATCCCCTTTTGTAGAAACCATTCCCAATGATCCATACTCTGTCTCAAATTATAATAATATTATGTTTAATATTTAACAACGAAACATTTCCAGAAAGAAAAAGGAAAAAAAAGAAAAGAAAAGTGAATGATCACCTGGTGCCATGTAACCTATAGTGGCAATTTGCATTGTCTGCATCACAGATGCCCCTTCTCCCAAAAGCTTGGCAAGGCCAAAATCCCCCACATGTGCAACCATATCTTCATCAAGCAGCACATTGCTAGGTTTCAAATCACAATGGATGATTGAAATTGAGTGTCCATGGTGAAGATATTCTAAAGCAGAAGCCACATCAATCACTATATCCAATCTTTGTAGGATCTTTAGACAACATTTATTAGAATATAACCACTTCTCCAAGGTTCCATTAGGCATGTACTCAAGTACCAAGGCTTTGAAGTCTTCATTACAGCAGCTACTAATGATTTTGACTAGATTTCGATGATGAAAACTGCACAATACTTCACATTCTGTATCAAAACTCTTAAGTACACCCTCGACTTGTTGATTGAAGACCTTTATTGCGACATCATTCCCTCTAAAAGTTTCCCATTAAATACTGACCCAAAACTCCCTATGCCAAGTAAGTTTGTTTCATTGAATTTGTCAGTTGCATGTTTAAGCTCTTGGTATGAAATCCTCTTCCATTTTACTAGACTTGGCAAAATTTTTTGATCCACAAATTTTGCTTTTGATTTATCTTGTCTTTTGAAGATAATGATGATGAAGGTAAGTATCAATATGGCAGTTGCTATAGGTGGCAACAATAAACTTAGCACATGAATGGATTTCTTTTGTGACTTGCATGGAGGAACTTGAAATCTTGGCAAACCACATAGGGCAATGTTTCCAATAAATGATTGAGCAGAGAAGTTTCTGAATGATCCTCCACTTGGGATTTCTCCTTCAAGTCTATTGAAAGATACATTGAAGAATTTGAGATAGGAAAGTCCTTCCAAAGACTTTGGAATTACTCCAGAGAGAATATTGTTAGAGAGATCCAAAACTTCCAAGGCTACCAACCCATCAAATGATTGAGGAATATTACCTTCTAATGCATTTTTTGGCAAGGAAAGATAAGTCAAATCTTTGAGATCCCCAATGGTGCCAAGTAAATTGCCTGATAGCTGATTTCTAGATAAATCCACTTCAATCAAGACTCTTAGGTTTCCAAAATCTAATGGAATAGGGCCATTGAATGAATTTGATGACAAGTATACTTGTAAGATAAATTTAAGACTCTAGAAGGTTGAGGGTATGGTAGAACTTAAGTTGTTGGAACTTAAGTTTAGATATCTTAAAGAAGTCAAATTGGCTAAGCACTCTGGCATGGATCCATTGAGCTGATTCCAATCCATTTCCAATTGATCTAATCTCTTTAAATGACATAGATCGTTTGGAATTGCTCCTTGAAGTCTATTACTTTCAAAAGACAAAACTTGGAGCTGTTGCAATCTTCTAATTGTTGCTGGAATTGGTCCAGTCAAATCATTACCAAAAAGACTCAAAAGTATCAAATTGCTCAAGTTGCCAATTTCTACATGAATATTTCCTTGGATTTTGCAATCCGATGCATAAAAATATTGAAGAGATGTGGATAGATTCCTAATTGAAGCTGGAAGGATGCCATTAAATGAATTAGATGATATGGATAGAGACATCAAAAATTTGCAATTTACCAAAGAAGAGAGGAAGCTTCTTTTTGGAGGTGAGAGTTAATGGAACATGTTACTGCTTAATATAAGCTTTTCAAGGAATCTTAGATGGCCAATTGAACTGGGGAAAGGGCCATAGAATGAGTTTTCGCCTAGGTCTAGAATGGTAAGCAGGGAGGAATTGGAGAAAGAATTTGGAAAATTTCCACTGAGTTTATTTTGATACAGATGTAGCTCAGTAAGCTTTGGAAGCCTAAGTCCGATGGTTGAAGGAAGATGGCCTGAAAGGTTATTATTTTCTAAGAAAATGTATTCCAAGGTTGAGATGTTGAAGATCATGGGAGGAATAGAACCAGTCAAGAAGTTGAATCTCAAAGACAAAACACTCAAGGGTAAGTTGCCAAACTCCTCTGGTATTTCACCTGTCAAACATATAAACAAATTAATTGATAAGCTTTTTAACTTGTACTTAATTTTTTGCAAAGATAGAATTGTTTAATTAAGATAAGAGATGAGAATGAATTCTAGAAAATGAGTTTGCATTAGATTGGTTCCTATTGTACCTCTTATTACTCTATCTCCAATATAAATTCTCCCAAATTAGTTATGTTCCCAATGTCTAATCTCATGTTCCCAATGAAACCATGCCTCTTATTATTGTATCTCAAAGATATATTTCTCTTAGCTTGGTTCTAGATATAGTTCTTCTAAGTTAGTTGTTTTCTACTTTGAGAATCTCCAACTTTGAAAGCAAACTAGAACTACAAAGAATAAACTCAAAAAATTTAAGGGGGTTTGCATTAGATTGATACCTATAAGGAAATTTTTATCAATGCTTCTAATGTTGAGAGTAAAGT